GTGGCCGAGTTGACTTGTGGCCGAGTTGACTGTGGCCGAGTTGACTTGTGGCCGAGTTGACTGTGGCCGAGTTGACTTGTGGCCGAGTTGACTGTGGCCGAGTTGACTTGTGGCCGAGTTGACTGTGGCCGAGTTGACTTGTGGCCGAGTTGACTGTGGCCGAGTTGACTTGTGGCCGAGTTGACTGTGGCCGAGTTGACTTGTGGCCGAGTTGACTGTGGCCGAGTTGACTTGTGGCCGAGTTGACTGTGGCCGAGTTGACTTGTGGCCGAGTTGACTGTGGCCGAGTTGACTTGTGGCCGAGTTGACTGTGGCCGAGTTGACTTGTGGCCGAGTTGACTGTGGCCGAGTTGACTTGTGGCCGAGTTGACTGTGGCCGAGTTGACTTGTGGCCGAGTTGACTGTGGCCGAGTTGACTTGTGGCCGAGTTGGATCGAATTCCTTTTATATACCTGCAATTCTACGGATGAATGACTGGAGATGCACATGCGCCCTCTACAGTATGTTCCTCAAATTCTATTTATACATAAAGATCTTTTACTGAGTAATTAATAATTATAAGATCTTTGTTCAACATAGCAAAGGGCTGATCACAAATGGAATGCTCAATTCCATGTATTTTCCCATGAAAAAAAAAATCATAAAAAAATTAATTTTGAAATTAACTTGGTCACTTTGCAGTAACATTTTAATTATTAATTTGAACATAGAATTATACGGAAGCGTATTGCTGCCAACTAAAAAATATTATCTCGTAATAACGAGATAATTATCTCGTAATTACGAGATATTATCTCGTAATAACGAGATATTGTCCCGTTATTATGAGATAAAATCTCATAATTACGAGATAATTATCTCATAATAACGAGATAATTATCTCGTAATTACGAGATAATATCTCGTAATTACGAGATAATATCTCGTAATTAAGAGATAATATATCGTTATTACGAGATATAATATCTCTAGATTTAGTTATACACCTGAAAGTTTTTTTTTTTTATAATCAACTATTATTGGTCTTTAATTACACGCATAATTCAAGGTTATCAGATTATTATTTAATTAGCTAACAAGCATTAATTACACTGGGGTCAAGTGTCCACAATTACCTACGGGTGTAGGTAATTGTAGACCCAATTTTAAAAAATAGTTTTGGGAGGAGGGCACACCCTCCCCACCCCCATACACCCTCCCCGGCTCATGCATTCGGTCCTCAGATAACGCTGCTCGCTAGTAGTTGCTCCCATAAATACTTATCCCCATAAATACTTAGTCCCCCAGTCGGAAATCTTAGCCCCCAACCCCCATAAATTATATCCTAGAGCTGCCCATGCTTTCCATTCCATTCATAGGAAAAGCTGTTTTGATGGCGATTGTATACTTTTTTTTAGCAAGGTTTGCCTACGTGGAAACTAACTCCGGCTATATAAATTTGATTAAAAGATTGAAAGTTATTGTTAATGAAGGATTAATAATAAGGATTGTTATGTCCATTTGTATTGATCTAATCTACGTAAATTTACTTTCAGAGTTTATATTTCGATAATGAAATTGTTTAGATATGATATTTATTTTAAAAATACATTATATGAAATAATGTAATCGTTAACGTTTAATAATATTTGATAATTTTTAGATAAAGCAATAAGATTGAATTATGTTAAGTACAGACACAATGTATACACAGGCCTGGTTGAGAGTCAAGTTAAAACATGTAAATATAAATCGAAATGATATACTTATTTATATATTTATATAAGCCTAAATATTGTGCGTAAATATGTATTTAGTTATTAAATTAAGTTTATTTTCGGTACCGGTAAATATTTTCAGCCGCTCCAATTTTTCCCTTTTCTTCTTTCTTCCTTCCTATATGTTTCTTCCTTTTTTTCGTTAAATTTAATTTAATATATTTAATACATATTTACGCATAATATTTATATAAATATATAATAAGTATATTATTTCGAGTATTATTTACATATTTTAGCTGGACTCTAGTACTATAAGCCTGTGTATACATTGTGTCTGTGTTTAACATTCAAATATCAAATATTATTAAAGCGTTAACGACTACATTATTTTATATAATATATTTTTCAAATAAATATCTAAACAATATTCATTAATGAAATATAAACATCGGGCGTAACGCTGACTGGTGTGCATTAAGAATAGCAGTGGACTCTCTTCTGTTATATACTCTTTGATACTGTCCACAATTTCCCACCCTTACCCTATTATCTCGTACGTACGAGTTACTATCTCGTATTTACGAGATAATTATCTCGTTATTACGAGATAATATTTCGTAATAACGAGATAATATCTAAATTTTATTTTTTTTTAGTTGGCAGCAATACGCTTCCGTAGAATTATACTAAAACACTTTCATTCTAGGAACTGGAATGTTTCTATCATTTTTCGGGTAATTTCTACTGTATATTCAAGTGGAAAAAGGGGCGTATATCCATCCCTTTTCCTCCTTTCCCCTCCCCCCAGTTTTTAAATATTCAAACATCTCTCATTAACCGTTTTTGAGTTTTTTGGTCAAATATGCTGTATGTCAGGGATTGGCATACTGTAAAACTCATTTGGAGGGCCAAAGTGAAATTTTGATTTAACACCGAGGGCCACAGCCAAACTTTGATGTTTCCAGTGAGCTTCCAAAAACCCCCAAGCACTGCTTTTACACCATTTTCTTATCAGTTTTAATGTTACTTTTTACATATTATGGGTGTCGGCCCGTCAAAAACAAGGTGTTGTCTAGCCATGAATGTTGCTTGGCGGTCGCAAAAAATCGCTGTGGGTCCGCACTTTGCCCACATGCTTTATGTGTCTTATACAACATAGGCCTCAAAACAATTTGCCCCTCCGGAGCCTGGCTTTAACCGCGGGATATTTTTCAATAGTTACTGAGTAAACCTGTAAGCTGTTGAACATTAAAACGTAGTTCTAAAATATAAAAAAAACAAACAAACAAAAACAAAAAACAAAAAAACAAAAACAAACAAAAAAAGAATTTCAACAGACACGGGAGGCTGGAGGGGTGGATAAAGGCTTTTCTAACCGGGCCTCAACACCCCTGGGACCACCTGTGTAGGCCTATCACGTGATGACGTGCGCCCTCTGCTTTATTAATCATGAACATGCTACACTTCAGTAATAAAGAATAGAATTAATGAATGGAAAAACGCAATGAGTTAAGCAAGTGCCGCATGGAAAATTTTGCTGCAATAATACTCAGTGACGCATCGGTATGCTACAGGATCTTCGGATTAGACCTCTATTGAGCACTAGATCCTAGCTGTTGAAATGCAATATAAACGGATACGGTACTTAAGCTTTAGGTCTACTTGAATTAACTGACAGTGGCCATATTGTGGCTTTTCTTTTTAAATAGAATACAATTTTAATTTCATTACTCATTAACGTTTTGCTGACGACGATATATAGATACGGTAAGTTTTTGAAATGTCAGGCCTGTGAACAGGCTTTCCGACTATTGCATACTGCGGGCCTTCTCTAAGCACATGTCTTATCAAATTTATCACCAATATGCTTCCTTTTTCTAATTTAGTAGGCCTATCTATCTATTAAGCTGCACTCACCGTTTTTTTTTTTGTTGTTGTTGTTGTTTATTATATTTGCCGTTAATGGCTTAATTGCGAGCCACTCACGAGCTTCAAACAACAAAGTGCAATGAATTAAATCTTGGTCCTAATTGAGTAACTAATATAGGCCTACGTGATTTCGGCAGCATCCTGGGCAGTGGTGGTTTTATCATCTTGGATACCTGCGTCTTCATCACTGCCAGAGTGTATTATACTACCCTCTAAAAGTTTTTTCAAGTCATATCGATCATGATGCATTTATCTGTCATTATTAATAATGGATTACTTTTATTTCATCACAGATTTTCAGAATGTCTTTCAGTAAGGTTGTCAAAGATTTGGACCAAAAGGTTTTGGAATGTCCCATATGCATGAAACGATTAACACAACCTCGGACACTCCCATGCTTACATACCTACTGCCTGGCATGCTTAGAAACCTGGGTTGAAGTACAGAGTGAACTCAAATGCCCTCTTTGCTCTGGCACTTATCCGGTTCCAGAAGGCGGTGTTCAGAAACTTGCACCAAATACTACCATTAATAACTTGCTCGAATATGTGGAGACGATGGAAAAGACTGAGGAAGAGGATCCACAGAAACTTTTGTGTATGTGTCGTAAAAGCCCACCAACACATTTCTGTAAAGAATGTGTAGAAAACGTTTGCATTGACTGTAAACAATCGCACAAGTCATCACGCTTAAAGTCAAAGAAACACACATTGTACCCACTAAATGAGCTCGTCATCCCTTCGGTGAAAGAAGTAATGACATCACAGAAGAATTATTGCAATGTCCACAAAACTAATGTGTTGGAGTTCTTTTGCAAACAGTGTGTGAAGTTAGTCTGTGGACTCTGTCGAGACGAACTGCATAAGAAAGCGAGTGAACATTCAGTTGTTACTGTATCCACGGCATGTGTGGAATACAAAACAGAGGTTCATGGTCTTGTTACAATGGCAAATGAGATGAAAATTCAAACTCAAGCACATCTACATGCGTTGGAAACAAGTGCAAACCACCTTAAAACAAGCCGAGATACATGTAAGAATAACATTGATGCATGTATGCATGACGTTATAAAAGAGATGGAGACGGGTTGTCAAGATCTGAAGAAACAGGTTGAGGCAGTTTACAAAGTTCACATATGTGCTCTTCGTTCTAAAATGCAAAAATTACAGTCATTCGTATCCGACGTCTCTGGTGATATATCTGTACTAAAGGATACATTTGGAAATTTTACCGCGGAAGGGTCGTTTGAATCGTGTGTGTCGAAAATCAGTACGATTCGTGCTCGTCTAAATGAAATGGAGGTGGATCGTACAAAATTTTCTCCCAAACTTGATTTTATTCCTTCGCAAGAACTTACAAGTGCGTTGAGGAGTAATGGAGTTGGCAAAATTGGAATCTTTAAAGATGTTTACAAAGTTTCTGAAGCAGATACAATAGAAGTGAATGAGGGGGAAAGGTTTACAATAGGAATAGATTCCTTTATGGGAACGAGAGGTACCTGTGAGCTGATGGCAAAACTAAAAGACCCACTTGGCCAAGAGTCAATTGCTGATATTTCACAACAGGGGAGACGATGTGTTGTAACCGGAGTATGCAAAATTGTTGGAAAATGGGTATTATCAATTAGAAGTGGTACTGAGGTTATACAAGGGTCTCCAGTCATAATAAACGTACGGAAAAGGGGACTTTGTATTACAATACCAAACATAATAGATTACATGGAGCACTACAAGGATACTAAGGTTATGAATGTATTATTAAACAGAGAAGGACTGTTACTTGTGACAAGTGCTGGCCGAGATGTATTGAAATTTACACAATCTGGTGAATTTATCTCTAAGGTTGTACTGCAGCCAGGAACCAGAGTGACTGGACTATGTAATGTCAATGAAGACATTTTGGCATACAGTGATTTTGGTAATAAATGTGTTACAACGTGCAACCATGATTTCAAGGAAGTCTTGTCGTTTGGAAAAGGCATTGTTAAATTTCCACGCGGTTTAGCTGTGCGTCAAAACACGAACAATATTTACGTTGCAGATCATGAAGTTGACTGCGTCTTTCGTTTCAACTACGAAACAGGCAAACACATTGGAACCATCGGTTCAACTGGAAGAGGTATTGGTCAGATGCTATCACCACAAGATGTCGCTATAACTAAAGATGGGCATGTTCTTGTAGCCGATCTCCGTAATCACAGAATCTGTATGTTGGATACGAATGATAAATTTGTGAAAATAATGGTTGGATTTGGTAAAACGGACGGAAAAGTTGTGGGGCCAGGTGGCATTGTGGTTTGTGAAGACGATACTTTTATTGTTTCCAGCAATAATAAATTGCAGCACTTTGATCGTAATGGTGTGTTGATCAAGCGGGTTGATAAAGACAAAGATGGTTTAAATGCACCCGTGTTCATGGCCCTACTTTCATCAAGAACTGTTGCCGTTGCAAACCATAAAGAGGATGAAGTCAAGATATTTACTTACTAAATATCACGCAACCAGTACCGTATATATGTACAGTATGCCTAATTTTCGATAGTATCTTATGATTTGATACAAAACTTTAAAAAAATACAATAACAATCTAAGCGGTAAAGATCGGTTATAATTCATGTCAGATGCATAGTTGGTATGCTTGTTATTTGAAGTTGGAGATTGAAAAAAAAATAGTTTAAGCATTTCAATGGGTGAACGATTTTCAATGGGTGTGATGATAATACCATATGCAATCATTCCACACATGAACATGTTAGGCTGATACAAAATACAGACTGACATGCCAACATAATTTTGACAGTGCGACAATAAACGACCCGGGTACCAAACTTATGTTTAAAGAATTCTAGTCTAGTGTATTTTTGAATTTGTATTAAGAATTAAAAACCATTATCATGGCTGCTATAATGCTACAAGTATATGGGCTTATATAATTACATTGTTTTAATTCAATTCAATTCAATATCTGCATCAACAATATTTTATTTTACAATAAGTAAATACAATAAATATAAAATAAGATAATTATGCAATTATTAAATAAAAGTATTTTTAATTAATTAAGGAAATTAATCAACCATTTCTATTGTTGTAAAATCAAATAAAATTATGGCTTGGTTAATATTAGATTTGTGGCGGAGAATAGGTCATTGTTTAAAGTATAACTTAGGGATAGTGAATAGGAAGAGGAGTTTTGTAATCGAGACGTTTTTGCATTAAATCGGAGATAGGATGATTAACAGGTTTTAAGAAGAAACATAGCCATTGTTCTGACAGGTGGAAGCAAAAATTTTAGCGGATGATCAGCAGATTGGACAATTTGACAAATAAATTTAAGAAGTAGGCATAGAAGTTAATTCTGTCTCTTTTCAAAAGGAGTGATGTTATATTATGAACAAACAGAAAGGTAAGATGAGGAAGTTCGGTCCTTAGAGATTAAATTAGCAAAGAGAAGCTCAAGACGACAAAGAAAGGACATATATTGTTGAAGAAGGCCATATTTTTCAACATTAGTTTTGTGTAGTCTCACATACATTTTCAATCGATGATACCACATGCTAACATAATTATAACATTACAGCCAGATCATAGCCCTTAAGTGGAATGTTTATTATAGTTGCCAATCTGACTCACACTATCATAACATCGATTAAAGGAATTAGCGGAAAACGACAACCGCGATTACAAAAAAAGAAAACAACACTAGACCCAAGAAAACGGTAGTATAAACGACATCGAAAACTATTATTATATTTTCGGGAGGTCACTGGCATTTGCTCCAGACTATAGCCTGAATCGAACTTTGTTCTTGATACGGTTTGATGCCTAATATTTCAGAAACATTAATCCCATCACTTGGAGATATAAAACCTTCTCTCTCAAACGAGGGGGAGACGATAAAACTTGGTGACGTACCTCATATCATAATGTTGTGAGCAACATAATGAAATAATTCGGGTTAAACTTGGTTCTGGTTAATATTTGACGAAAACTTCCAAACGGTAAATCAATAAGAATACATATAACTGTCGTAAAGCATATTAGATCCTGATTGCTATTATAGAATTTCCAATGTTTCAATCTCCAAAAAAGGACACATAGGATGATTGACGTGCAGTTACTTAACCGGACACAAGCCTCCTGAAGAAATAATGGACGAATCCATTTTTCCATAAATGTTGGCCCTAGAGGCTTGATCACTCGGCTCAGAAGTTCTGGTGCGAACAGACGTCAGAGATCGTGATTAAACTTCGTAAGTAACCTTCTTATTTAAATTAGTTCTTCAATCAAAAATAATTTTGACAAATGTGTCTATTAATTCCAAGTTGTTTTTAAACATAAATGAAATGTGTTTCTGTGAACGATACTAGTGAAAACCCCTAATTAACCCTAAACAATCATTAACAAGTGAATAAATCCCTTTGATATAGGCAACATTATTATCATTACTAATATATTTATTATCTGCAATCTGTATTGGTCAATGTACTCTGACAATAAAGTTAATAATTGCATTATTCACTTTTAATAAATAATTTCCAAATTGCCATCAAACAGGCAGGTATCTAATAGGTATGACTATGGGACCAAAAATCGTATCAAACATTAAGATATAATGTAAAGTGTTATTACATTGGTATGTTTATATATTAAATTGATTTAGGAACTGGACAATATGGCTTCGTACAACATGGTTCTTCTGATCATTGCTTTCATTGCAACGGTAAGTAAATAACAATTAGTTCATGACTATCTTATTTTACAATTTTAAACTGGAAACTATACTGCAGTAATTATTATAACTAGAACAAAAATGTGATTATCTTTGACTAAAAATGAGGTAATGTCTTTGATGAAATTGTGACAACCCTCATATATGTAAACAAATAATAGATAATCTCCTTTATAACGACCAAATAAGAAATAACTTCAAATGATAAATGTAGACATTTCAGTTTTTGCTGATATATAGATAGTATTGTTTAACTTTATTTTCGACAATATTTTTAAAAAACTATTTCGGAAGTGTTTTAATTTTTAAGCTTTTGTACCTACTTGAAAAGGTGATTTTTATGCATTTCGAAGTAAGGTCAAACAAGGGCAATTAATTGAAACTTAATATTAATGTGTGTTTAAATGGTCGGATCCCAATCATTCTAAATGTAGGTAACAATGACGTCATGGTTATTGACTTTGCAACTCAGCCTGTGAGTAGGACTAAAACAATTCTTCCTCCCAATTGTGTCATTTAAAACATCACCATGCTAATTATCATGATGATTTTCCATCTAATGTTTAATCTAGTGCAATTATATAATTCGCTATTTATATTTAATAATTATATATATATATATATATATATAATAATATAATATAAATTAAAACTGCGCAACAGTAATAAAACTCAGATATGTTTCTTTTTATACATATATTTATCCTGAAATATGCCTTGCACTACTTATGTCTTTTGAATATGTTTGTAGTAAGTAAGCCTTTTAAGTACAGTTTAACATTGGTGTCTTACTTTACACATTATTTTACTTTCAAAATCAACACTGCAAAGCCACAATAAATGATGTTATCGGAGGAAACAAGTCAAACCATTCAAAACTTAGACTCATATATAAAGTAACTTTCATAACAACGATTTTTCATTATGAAGAAACGGCTGTCAATTGTATAGGCCTACAGAGAATATATAATTCATAACGTATTATAGTTTTGAATCCTCATCCATGCGTAGCTATGATTACCGGCACAGGGCTTATTATGTTAAATGACCTGGACGAATTACTTCCAATTGAAACAAGCATACAATATTATTAAATTTCCTTGTACAATAATATATTGTTGCCAACTTGACTTAAAAACTTTAAAAAAAAAATGATATCTTAGTATTAGACCCAAACAGAAATATAAAAACTACTGTCACTTTTAAAATTATTTCTACATTAATTACGTCCCGATTGTTCGCCAATAATGAGTTCTGTCTATTGATCCATCTATGAAAGTGTATTGATATTTATACCGCCATTGTTTATTTATTAGTTAAAAACAATATCTCTGACTATAGTCTAGACTTAAACTAACCATAACAATGGAAATAATTCCGAAATGACGAATGCGTCACACGGGGAAAGGCGTTATTAAAGAAAACACATGTTTTATTGCCCCACGCTGTGTCATTGAAACTGAAACAATCGAGATTCCCATTGGTATGTCAGAAAAAATGATATAATTCATAGGAATTAGTACACAAAAAAATGAAAATTATTAAACTGAGGGAAGGCAGCCAGGCTCAACAACTTACGTAAAATAGGGTACATTCTACCCTTTTTAAGGTATGATATTATAAGGAATGTTTATTTGGTTATGGATATCGATATTGTTTTTAAAAGTTCCCAAACTGCTGTTCCAGCATTGGTAGGCCCCAAGCCAAATGACCCTAGAACAAAATCACGTTTTGCAATGTATTTGGTGTGCATGGTGACTGAAATCACAACTCGAAAAAAAACAAAAAAACATATTCTTTGTTTTGCTTAGTGTAGTTTAGGCCCAGAGGGGAAAACGAATAACTCAAAAATACTAATCTTAAAATTGAAAGAAAACAGTAATGTCAGATTTCTCCAAATGGATGGTTCATTCTCTGGTCTCAAATCTAGTAGTTATGGGGTGTTTTTACTCTTACTTTCAGTACAGTACAAGTGACCTAATGAAAGAGCAGATAATATAAGAATGAACATACAGTCGTTACGAAGTGTTCTTACTTTCACTTAGGTCACTTGCAATGAAATCTATCCCTCAGAAGTTTAGTGTCATGTGGAGAAGTGAAATGAAATCTGGGACCAGTTGTCAGCTTGGAATGCTAGGCCAGCAACCCTATGACATCTTTTTAGAAACCAATTTCATTTCTTTTGCTACAAATATTTATGTAAACCACTGTTGAATATTAAACTCCTTCCTTTCGAGCAATACAGGAAGTTTATCTCCATAAAAAAAATTCCACAGTGCATCTTGTAAAAGAAGTCAGTGTGCTAAGTTCGATATTTTATGAATAAGTAAATCACTTGCTGTTGGTACCGTAAATTAATTCATTAAACTCGATTTGTTCAATATATGATACAAACATTTCATCAATCAATCCTATTAAGCTTCTTAACAATTATGTTAATACATTATTTTTTAAATAAATATATGATAATTAAATGTGATAATTGTTTTAAACAGGCTTCTGCTGCCATCTTAAACCAAAGGGAACTATCACCAGAAAACAGTAAGTAGCCTGCTTTTAGAATGCATTTCTAGTGTCATAAAGTATTATAAAATGGCATATTTCATGGAATACCATATTCAATTATTAAAATGTAATTATAATAAACTTTAGAGTTTTTTCCTGGACCGATTTTTATATATTTCCTAAATTGACTTCAGAATCGATTTAGTAAAAGTTATTTACTGATTGACTGATGATAAGAGTATAACAAAATGGATATTTTCGACATGGATAAAACTGAGATTCGATGAATTGGGGAAAAAATTATTAAAACAAAAACAGTCAAGATATGTCAGCACAACTATCGCATTCCATAACACCAGTACATTTATACAGTGTGCACTACGTCCTCTCAGTCTAGCTGCGTTGGCCTACTTTGCTATTTAAGACATGTAGTGCCTATAGGGCTAAGCATGACATAAATTAGATAGTACATGCACTAGTGTACATGAACATAGGCTAAGGCCTGCAAGGCAACCAAGTTCGTCCACGAACATTATTTCGTATCTAAAGCAGAGTACTGTATGTGGAAATGCATACTAAGACTGCAGTTTTAGCTTTGTGTGTCATGGACGGTTGTTTATTAATATTATTATTATTATTATTGTTATTATTATTATTATTATTATCATCATCATCATCATCATAATCATCATTATTAAATGAATGCAACTAGACCTATAGGCCCTTACTACAGCTTATTTGCACTACATTTTTGTTTATAAGAACACTGAGGCTGAAATTGTTTTAAAATAAAGAACAAAATAAGAAACAAATAACATTTTTATTTAAAATTGATTAAATTCATTAAATAAAAAACCCAAACTAATCAAGCTAGTCACATACAGTAAAATACTGATGATTAAAAGGGGTTCCTATGCAATACCCTCTTTAAATACAGTACAGTAATCAGCTCCAATTATAATTTTCTATCTTTGAAGAATGTATAAAATAAGCACAAAATACAACATTTTAAGCCGGAAATTGGCCCCAAAATAAGAACACTCAGCCTCGGCAATACGCTAAACCTTGAGGGTAGAAAAGAAGTCTGGTCGCCTACAAATTCGGGGATATGTAAACTGTGTAATGACAACACTAAAGAAACTATAGTACACTTCATACTAGAATTAAGAGAGGAATGTTTTGAAAGCCTTAAAACTGACCTAATTCTTCATGATTTTCATTCTTTTTGGAAATCATTCGATGAAGGTAGCTCGGAAATGAAAATACACCTGTTACTGGATAATTTATACAATGTAAACCCGACTTTATGAAAAATAATTGACACCTGCTGCAAAACATATTTACAGAAGGCTTGGGAAGCCCGAACAGACTTTTACAAGAAAACCCCCCCAAATTTGAACTGAAGAATAATTACTAAATGTAAAAATACTGTAGAAAATTTGCTTACTACGGTATTGTAGTTTTATGTTTTAATTTACAGTACATTTTAAACTTAGATAAGCACTTTATTTATTTATTATTTTTTTTATTTATCCTAAAGTTTTGTTTTTTTTGTTTTTGTTTTTTTTTACTTTGTTAAATTC